CATCTCTTGGTCAGCCTTAGTTTAGCTCATTACAACTTCAGCCCGGGCACTAACGATCTCGGCACTTACCTTCGAAAGCTTAGACTCGAGCTTCGTAATCGCATCTGCTTGAACCAAAGCATTGTCACGAGCTAAGTGGAGTTGGGCCTTAAAGGCGGGAACTTTAGCCAGAGCACTCTTCTCCTTTAAAGCCCGGACCTCCGCCTGAGCTCCTAGCTTATCGTGTTCGCACTTGGCTCGACCAGCCTCACCTCGAAGGCGCTCCAGGGCCTCCGTCTTTTTCTGCAGCTGAATAAACGAAGCATTAGCCTCAGAAGTGAGAAGGCGGAATGCACACTCACCCGGGACAGAAAGTACCTGCTCTTTCAAGTAGCTCTCATAATTCAGGCTCTGGCTCACTTCGTACCGAAAGTGTGCCAGCTCGACTTCCTTTTCACCGCAAATGAGACTAAGGGATCTCTCCTCATCCAGAGCTTTCCGTAGCCTAGCTTCACTATGAAGCATCCCGGACTTAAGCTCGTCGAAGGCCTGCAAAAGAAAACCCAATAAGGAAAGGAAAACGCGAACCTCAAAAGGCCCTCCGATGCCTGCGATAGCAAGATTAATACGCAAAAGGGGAAAATGCCTCTCCAAGTGAAGGGAGAAAAGGAAAAAATAGCATAACACCCACCATGATGTTTCGCTTCCCGTCTGCCCCGGGACAAAGCTCGCCATTAACGCTCGTCGCAAGTCGAGTGGGTCGCCAACTTCCTAACCCAATCCGACAAATCAGGAACGTCGCTTGGTGCCCATGAAACCGCTACAAAAAAAGAAAGGGAGGCACGGGTACGGAACCAGCCTTCGCCATAAACAAAGCTATGAAGGCACGGAATGCATCACTTACGTGTATAATTCCATTCCTCAAGGAATGGCATAATCTCCACGGGGATAATGTCATCGGTCCGTACTCGGACAAATCGACTCATCCACTCCCGATCTCCATCCTCCTCATCATCGATGACAAAGGGCGTGGCCGACCGGCATTGCAAGGTTAGCAGACCCCGATGGTGAAAGGGCCGGTACAGCCTAATAAGATGATTGAGCGTAAATTCAAGCCCCATTTTCTCCACAGAAAACCTCATCATCAACACTATCCTCCAAAATGACGGATGGATCTGCGCCAAGGTAACCCGATACTTTAAAACAGAAGTCGAGCACAACCCTATCAAGGGGGCCTAACGTGAAAGGATACGTGTACACATTCAGGAACCCATCAGCGCGATCCGTGATGCCTTCATCCGATGAAAGTACCCTTAACACTACTTCCTCCCCCCATCCGCAGTCTTTTCTCACTAACCCAAGGTGCTCTTATCAAATAAGTAATCTCCAAAATACTCACTTGTTGGTCCTGAATACCGGAGGTGGAACTCCCCCTCTCTGCCGAACAGACCCCGATGTAGCAGTCATGATGGTGGCAAAATCGGAAAACTAGAGCAGATATTTGCGCAAGTACGTTAATACTGAAGTGATGAAAAGCTTAACACAGAAAAAGAAGGGTAACTGCCTAAAATGGTAGGGTCTCCAAAGAAGTAGGAGCGACCCTATATATGTGAGAAAACGGCAATGATCTGCCCGTCTAAAAGGCCGACAACACCATCGCCAGTCCCGAGGTGGTACCTGACCTCGAGGACCTCCATCAAAAGAAAGTTAGGCTCCAGGAAGCCGACGACATCTTCGCCAGTCCCGAGGTGGTACCCGGCCTCGAGGGCCTACATTAAAAGAAAGTTAGGATCCAGGAAGCCGACGACATCTTCGTCAATCCCGAGGTGGTACCCAACCTCGAGGACCTCCATCAAAAGGAAGTTAGGCTCCAAGAAACCGACGACATCTTTGCCAGTCCCGAGGTGGTACCCGACCTCGAGGATCTCCATCAAAATAAAGTTAGGCTCCAGGAAGCCGACGACATCTTGGCCAGTCCCGAGGTGGTACCCGACCTCGAGGACCTCCATCAAAAAAGAAATCAGGCTCCAGAGAGATAAGCGCTCCAAACTTTGTTCGTAAGGGCTTGATATCGGGATATCATCTAAACTTGGGAAGCCCCTCATCCGGAACCTATCTACAACGCCTTAAGGCTATATACACTATGTTCAAGGCAAGTTTTCAAATGCCTCGAGTTAAGGCTCGCTCGGGGACTGCTCTCATGTTTAGAGGCAGCCCTTATCATCGGGCCTCCGAGCAGATTTCCCTTCAAAATTACCGTACGGTCTAAGTGATAAAATCACGGGTTCAAGGCTCGAGGCGTTACTTCCATTCAACTCGAAGTGGGGGCCTCGATGACCTGATCTTATCAGACCAATCCAGGCTTGGCCCGAGGAATGACAAAGGGTTCCGCGGGGAGACGTTTTAATCAACCAAAGGTCAGAAAAGATACTCGCATCTGGGTTCAATATAGGCAATAACCGACAGAGTCATGTATTCAGAATCTCCATAAACATAAATAAAAGGGAGTATAGTAAGCATCGAAAACAAAATTGAAGAAATATCTTTGTATTCATAAACATTCGATTACAAAGGCCCAGAGGGGTCCTTACATATAATTACAAAAGCCCATGAGGGGTTCTTACACAGAAACAAATAAGCGAAGGGGTACACATATAGTAAAGGTCCAGAGCCTAGTCTACTCTCGAAGGTGCATCCTCAGCAGCAGCATCTTCGGGCACCATTTCCTCGGGCATACGTCCTCAAAGGCAATATCTTCCAAGCACCGCTTCCTCGACGGTCTCATCCCGATCTGCCAAAGTAGCACCTTCAAAGGAGAATATGGAGAAGAGGAAAGTGGGAAGAGCAAAAAGGGATGAAAAAATGCTATAGCCCGGTAGAAGACTTGGCGAGCGTCGCCCTCGCTTGCATGGACACTTTAAATCCACTTCTTGGAGCATCGTGTCATGCAAGCTACCGGCCAAAGATACCACTTCACCCGAAGGAAATCAAAGAGGGTGTAGCGCACTAGGCCGGGATAGGAGGATGAGCAGCGATGTATAGTCCGAGCACCCTCATGACCAGCGGTGTATAGTCCAAACACATTTCTAAGTTAGAAGAAGTCGACCCCTCTATATCACCTCTAGACAACGATGATAGTCGTGACAACCGCAACAACAACAAAAATAGCAACGAGACAATGTAATCCCGCTCGACAAGGGAAAGCCCAAGCAAAGGGCCGTGGCATGGCTTATGAAAATACCGCCATATAACCTGAAGTCCATGGATCCCAAACATAGTAGGTAGCAATGGAGGAGGGTAGTGAGAAGAAAGGGGTGAATGGATGTGGAAAGGCACTTAGGTAAAGAGATAGTTCCGGAAGACCCGCATTTATAGGAGATGATAATATGACCATCAATGCCTTTGAAAGACGGATCGGCAGACGCAATCAATGCGTTATTGAAAACCGAGTCGACACGATACTGTCACTTTGGAGAATGAGAATCGACGGTGCATTGAATGGCGCTGAAAAGACAAGTCCATGAGACATCCCGATTATCGTGAAGGCTCACGTCACAAGTTGATATCATCAGTATGACGTCATAGCGGGAAGCCCGAAGAGGTTAATATCAAAATCGTTTCCTATCGCTTCGTTCTAGGAAACACGGAGACTATCTGTATACGGCAAAATCGGAGGGTCCAATTTCTCGTCGTTAAGGTACTTCGGAAGGTCACCTCGAAGGCTCGAGGCCACAGCCGAGCACCCTCCCTCGAGGGTCGTCGACACTCGACCTCAGGATAGTAATGACCATGACTATGATGAAAATAGGGAGTTTCCAAGGCACTCGTCTAGGGCTGACAGAGCCTAGCGGTCTACTCTAAACCCGAATCAGGGTGTCTTATCTAGCTGTCCCATCACCATATCTTTGTAATTAATACATTTTGTACTATGTAGGGATTCCCCTCCTATATAAAGGGGATCTTTGTCATTTTGTAAGCCTTGTTGCTTCAGCTGCTCCACACGAAATATAGAAAAATATTATCTCTGCTCTCTAACATATTCTCTTGATATTATTGCTCTCATTTATTATCTCCATTGTTGTTCTTCATTTATTTCTTATCATTGGCCATAAAGAGCCTTCGTTAATCATCTTATAACAGTTAGTCCTACCCCGATCACCCTCGATAGCTCGTAGCCGAGCTCTGGAATCGACCTCGAGGCCCAGAATCGACAGGTTCGAGGCCCCGATTGTCAAACTATCGGTTTGATTATCGCTTTATCTTTAACTCTTATTTCGTTTCTAAGTCTCACATATCTAGCATCAACTGCTTAACAACTGACATAAAAATAGATCACGTATTTTTAGAGTCCCATCAACAAATTTAATTGTTATTACCATTTTCACGGTAAACAAACATATAGCCCATAACAACAGATGAACAAAGCAATCCTCAACTTTTTTCATTATATAAATTAAGAATGTTTTAAACAATTTTAAAACTTACTTAAGTGACCTTTATTTGTAGCAAAATGATCAAGTATATAGAAGACAGTCAGAGCAACTCCAATCTATTAAATTAAAAAAAATGGATGCAATTTATGTAAATAATTTTCTCTCCAACATCTTAACATTGCTTCTAGTCACTTGCTTTAACGAACGTAAAATATTAACTTACAGCACTCGTTGGACTTGAAAGAGAAATTGCATGCCTTTCACTTCCTCCTTACTGATGCTACATTAAATAACTCAATCTAACATTCCAAGTGAATGTCCGGTCCTAGACAATCATGTTGGTTTGTAAGGAACGTGTTTGGTACTAGAGAATGACCTTAGCAAATATTACAAGGGTTTGGGGGGAGGGAATATACATATCAGGACTTCCATAATATTGAGATTGCCTAATTATGTAAAGTGGCTAGTTAGTTGTAAAGTGGTTAGTTAGCTGTAAAGTAGTTAGTTAGGTGCAAACTGGCTAGGCCAGACATTTAGTTAATTAGATAGGATATTGTGTATATATATTTATTACAGGTATGAATAATAGGTGAGGTTTTATTTCCCACTTTTCCTTTCTCCTTCTTCTCGAATGTTCTCTCTCTGTCTCTTACTTCGACCTCCATTGTTGTGCAATCCAAGCTTGAGCCAACCTTTACTTTGAGCAATTAACATGGTATCAGAGCCTAGTCATTCCAATATATCATCTCTCAATTATCCATTTCTCCTTTGTGTTCGTCGATTTTGCCTTTTTCCTCAATTCGATTGATTTCTGAGAGCGGTTTCGTTTTTGCCCTAATTGATTGTCTGAGAAGGGTCTTTTTTTCCCAAAGTGTAATACTAACACAATTAATCTCAATCACTCATGGCCGTTGATGATTTGAGTGATGTGGCCAGCACAAATGTGCACATCGAAGTTCCATGAAATTCCGGAATCAATCAAGGTGATCCCTTGTATCTGCACCCGTTGGATAATCCCAGTGCTATCATTGTTTCCATTCCTTTCAGTGGTGTTGATTATCATTTATGGAGGCGTAGTGTATTGCGAGGCCTGTCAGTAAAAAACAAGCTAGGGTTTATAAATAGTGAATGCAAGCGTCTGGACCCTCACTCACCATATTGCGTCAATGGGAGCGATGTGATGACACAGTGACTTCATGGATTCTTAATTCCCTGTCGAAGGAAATTGCAGATAGTGTTGAATATGCAAATGATGCTATGGAGCTGTGGATTGAGCTAGAAGATCAGTATGAGCAGACAAATGGAGCTTGACTGTACCAAATCCAAAAGGAAATAAACGATACATCTCAGTGAACTCTTGATATTACTAATTACTACACCAAATTGAAGAAACTCTGGGAAGAATTGAGCACCTTGAGTAAAAAAGTCTCAATGCAGTTGCAACTGTACTTGTGGCGCGAAGGAAAATTTCTACAAAGCTGAGCAGGACAGGAGACTAATACAATTCCTCATGGGGTTGAATGAAACCTACACAGTGATTGGAGGAAGCATCCTCATGACGAACCCATTACCAAGCTTAGCTCAAGCTTTTTCTATCCTAATACAAGATGAAAAGCAAAGGGAAATCAAGCCACACACTCAGCTATTTATCAAATCAACTTCTATGAATGCTGCTAGTTCTAGGTCCAATACTTATAGGACCAACTATTTGTTCAATAACAACAACTATGGTAGACAAGGAAGGGGAAGACCTATATGTGATTACTACAGAAAGCCAGGGCATACTAAGGAAAAATGTTTCAAATTACATGGCTACCCTGAGAGTTCTAGATATCCTCGCAATCAAAATCAAAATCCAAACCAAAACTCCAACCAGAATCAGGGATTCAATCGGAACCAGAATTATAACAAGGGAAAGAGAATAGTGGCAAATGTACATGGAAATCAGTCCTCTGACATGTTATCCAACAAGGGAGAAGAACAAAATGATTTGAATGAAGAACAGAACATTAGCCTGTCAAAGGAGCAATATGGGCAAATCATGAATCTGCTCCAACACTTTCAAGCTGGGAATTGAGGAGAGAATGCAGGTGCCACCAATCTTATCGATAGGGCTGTGAACTTTATAGGTATAATAGTCTGTACTTCCTCTATAGATTTTGGTAAATTTTCGTGTCAATGTCTCAAAAACAAGACTGATTCCTGAATATTAGACTCAGGGGCCTCAAATCACATGACCTTCAATAAGTCCCTATTAACCAATATTGTAACACTGTCATATCCACTCCTAGTTGTCCTACCAAATGGATATAAAGTGAGAGTAACAGAAATTGGTAGTGTAATACTTGTGGCTGATATCACTTTACATAAAGTAATGTTTGTACCTTCTTTCAAATACAACCTAATTTCTATTCATGGTCTGACCAGTGTTAATCCCAGAAGCATAGTAGCCTTCACTGACAATCTTTGTATTCTGCAGGCCCCTTCAATGAAGAGGCATCTGGAGATTGGTAAGGCTTGTGATGGGATGTACCTTCTTTGCCCAAAATGTCTGAGAAACAAGTACTCAGGTTCTACCGTTAGCAACTCAGTTTCTTGCCTTGGTAATAAGGCTCATTGCACACATAACTTACACTTTCACATTGATTCATTTGTATGTAGTTCATTGTCCACAAATAAGTGTGTATCTTATCCACCTGTAAATGGTCCATGTTTGAATAATAAAAACCTTAGTCTGAATTTTTGTGTATCGCCTGATCATGATGTAAATGTTCTGTGGCATAATAGACTTGGGAATGTACCCTTTGTCAAAATGAGAGGGATTTCCTCTATTCCCATCTCCTTTCCTTCAAAGCAACCCTTTCTTTGTTCCATTTGTCCAATGGCCAGGCAGGGAAGACTACCATTTCCCCAGAAAACAAACTTTTCCACAAAAATCTTTCAGCTACTATACATATACATATGGGGACCTTATCATGTGGCAACACATGACAACTACAAATACTTCCTTACACTAGTGGATGATTACAGTAAGTCCACTTGGACTAACCTTCCCACATGCAAAAGTAATGCCTTACAAGTCATAGAAACATTTATTTCTATGGTTGAAACCCAGTTTAATACAAAAGTTAAAATAATCAGATCAGACAATGGCTTGGAGTTCACCAGTATAGAGGCAAGTATGTTTTTCCAATCCAAAGTCATCATTCACCAAAAGAATTGCCCTTATATTCCTCAACAAAATGAGATAGTAGAAAGAAGACATAAATATCTCCTAGAAACTGCCAGCGCACTCCTATTCCAATCAAAGTTACATGTAAAATACTGAGGTGAATGCATCTTGTGTGCAACCTACATCATAAACAGATTACCCTCTTCGAACAGTTATCCTAAATCCCCATTTGAATTACTTCACAGGAGAAAACCAACATACTCTCACATGAGAAGTTTTGGACCTAGAACATCCCTACACGTATTCATTGGTTATCCCTATGGTGTCAAAGGGTAAAAGGTCTTAAGTCTTTCCACTAAGAAGATATTTGTTTCTAGGGATGTTGTCTTCATTGAGAATGTGTTTCCTTTTGCTATATCACCTGGAAACACTTCATTTCCTTCTATTCTTAATTCTATTCCATTCATTGATTAAATTCAAAAAGGCACTGAACTTGCTTATGATAGTGATAATGGCACCATGTGTTACACATAGACAATCCCAACACCTTGAGTTCAACACCAGTTCACCTACTATGAATTCCTCCAGTCCTTTACCACAACCTGAAACACCTCAATCTTCAAGCCACACTTCATCACCAATAGCTTATCAGTTTGTTAGCACACCTGTTGCCTTAAGGAAATCACAAAGACCACATAGGACACATGTATATTTACAAGACTACCTACACTCACTCCCTAAGATAAGATCATCACCATCTGTTGCTCACAGCAACTCTGTTGTACCTTTCTCCCTTAATGCCCTGTTCTCTAACAATCATCATATAACCTATGATGTCTTAAATCCTGAGAGTCAAAGTCTTGTGAGAGACATCTGCAGTGACAGTGAACCCTCATTATATCAGGAGGTAGCTATGAATCCTACTTGGCAAACAGCTATGAACCAAGAATTTGAAGCATTGCATGTCAACCACACTTGGGACTTAGTTCCCTTACCTGCTGGAAAGAAAGACATAGGATGTAAATGGGTGTATAAAATAAAACATAAAGCAGATAATAGTGTAGAAAGGCTTAAAGCTAGGTTGGTTGTAAAGGGATATACCCAACAGGGTGGAATTGATTACAGAGAAACATTCTCCCTAGTAGTCAAGATGACAACTGTGAGGTCCCTAATAGCCATCACTGTCAAGAAAGTGTGGTACACATCACAATTGGATGTAAACAATGCATTCCTACATGGGGATCTAAATGAGGAAGTGTACATAGAGGTCGCATAGGGCCTAGCAGTAAACAACTTAGGTTTGGTTTGCAAACTCAACAAATATCTTTATGGCCTGAAACAGGCAAGCATGCAGTGGTATGCTAAACTAACTAAGGCTTTATGCTCAAGGGGTTATGCACATTCAATGTATGACTATTCTTTATTATACAAGAAAACTGAGCACTCAGCTGTTTATATAGCATTATATGTCGATGGCATTGTAGTTACATGAACTGACACTGTGGAGATTACAGAGTTAAAAACATTTTTAAACAATAGTTTCAGAATAAAGGGTGTGGGGAGGCTACATTACTTCTTGGGACTAGAGGTTCTCTACAAAAGTGATGCTGTAATAATATCCCAGAGAAAGTTCACTCTTGACCTATTGAAAGAATACCAGTGCATGGATCACAACAACTTCAATTCTCCAGTGGACCCCACGGTGAAACTTAAAGCTAAGGAAGGAGAAACATTAATAGACCGCATTTACTACATAAAATTGATAGGGAAGTTCAATTTCCTCACCAACACCAGATTAGATATAACTTACAGTGTGCAACGCTAAAGCCAATTCATAGATGACCAAAGAACCTTATCTAAAAGCAGCCTTTCATCTCAAATACTTAAAGGGGAATCCCACCTTGGACATATTCTTGTCTAAGGATCAGGATTACACATCAAAGCCTATTGCGACTCTGATTGGGCGACATGCCCAGACTCTAAAAAATCTGTGAGTAGTTACCTTGTGTTGATGGGCAGCAGTCCAGTTAGTTGGAAGTCCAAGAAGCAGGACACTATCTCCCTGTCCTCTGCAGAAGTAGAATACAGAGCCTTAAGGAAGGTAGTAGGAGAACTGGTGTGGCTCAGTAGATTGTTTGAAGAACTCATAGCACCTTTTTCTAAACCCATTGCAGTATTTTGTGACAGTCAGTCTGCCATGCACATAACCAGAAATCCTGTATTCCATAAGAGAACCAAACATATAGAAGTCGATTGCCATTTTGTGAGAAGCAAGCTACAGGAGGGGTTAATTTCACTACACCATGTGGGGACTACAGACCAGCTTGCAGATGTTCTAACAAAGGCCCTGACAGGAGCCAAGTATTCAGCAGCTTTGCACAAGTTGGCAGCGTTTTCCACACAACCAACTTGAGGGGGAGGGGAGGGGGGGTATTGAGATTGCCTAATTATGTAAAGTGGCTAGTTGGCTGTAAAGTGGTTAGTTAGTTGTAAAGTGGTTAGTTAGGTGCAAACTGGCTAGGCCAGACATTTAGTTAATTAGATAGAATACTGTGTATATATATTCATTACAGGTATCAATAATAGGTGAGGTTTTATTTCCCATTTTTCCTTTCTCCTTCTTCTCGAATGTTCTCTCTCTTACTTCGACCTCCATTGTTGTTCAAGCCAAGCTTGATCCAGCCTTTACTTTGAGCAATTAACACATAATATAAAAAGATGCCATGAAAGAGTTTAATACTGGGCTCAAGTGCAGTTCCTAGACACCATCATCTTGTGGTTGGCCTTTCATCAAAGACTTATCACAGTTGATCAATTGAAGAAATGAAGCATCTCTGTGCCAAGTGAATGTGTATAATGCAGAACGAATACAGAGGAAACAGTGTCTCATCTCTTTGTTGACTGTGAGTACTCTAGGACTGTCTGGGATACACTGTTACATTGGAATGGCTCTCAAAAAGGATTAACAATTGCAAGCCTTGAGCAAGCATACTGGCATTTCTTTTTGCAGTAGTTTACCACACTTGGATGGAACCGGACATGTGAAGATTTCAGGGGCAAAGGACAGAAAGTATTACGAGGATTCGAGAGTGGAAATGACACCAGGTAGCCACTTTTAAGTATGCTATTTAAATATATTCACAGTTTACAATGTATTTAAAGATTAGCCAATTTCGCTCAAACTTAAGTACATGACGTCCTAGAGTTTAAAGCTCAAAATTCAAACTTCAAGACATCGTATCCTAAAGTTCGATAATTTTGTCTTGAAATTCGAATCTTATGTCCTGAATTTGAAATTAGTAGTTCAAAAATTCAGGACACATAAGTGTCTTGAATTTCAAATTAGCATCTCAAAATTTGGGACTCTAAGTCGTGAATTTTCAAATTCACGACACTAAGTCTGTGAATTTCCAAATTCATGACACTAACACGTGAATTTCCAAATTCATGATACTTAGTCATGAAGTTTGGATGAATTAGCTAATCTTTAAATACATTGTAAATCGTGGATATATTTTAAATAGCAGGCTTAAAAGTGACTATTGCTACACTTCGCCCGATTCGAGACATAGTACTCCTACATATTAGAGCGCAAAAAAAGATCAAGTGGAAGAGGTTTTTAGAAAGTTTGAATAATTTTCCTGTCTAGTCTTGTAAGACTGATTGTAAATAGATAGATCAGAGGGGAGACTATTAAGTAGCAATAGTGGCTTTATTTGGGTAGCTCTGTAGTTCATTGGAGCTAGCGGAAGTAAATAGTTATACTTGGTTGAATTTTTTTTTGCCCGTTTGACCAAAAAAAAAAAAAAGATTTAAGTGAATATTTATATTTATCTTCATATTCGACACTCAACAGTTCTTAGAAGATAGGCCAAACATGGAACTGCCTCTTTGTTACGAACAGAAGCACTTCTCAAATGACTTAGACCAAACACAAATTATTATTCTTTCCAATAAAGTGGATATAATATGTGTGATCCTTGTACATTCAGAAGCATGTATCCAAGAGAGTAAACCCACCAAAACAATCACATTTTGATATGTCATAAACTGCGTAATAGTTTGACTATAAGCCTGAAGAATGCATTGCACCATAAAATTTAATATGTTCATAAGAATTGTCTCTACAACCGCCACTTGTATCCATGGCGGAGCCTTGTTTCTTCTTAAATTAAAAGCTATATTGTGTCATGTACGATTCCCCCGGAAGCACAGGAAAACCCAAAATATACATAATACCTGCTTTCATAACAAATGATGAAAAATTTGCAGTCCTTGTATAGCTAGAACTTTTGAAGTTGATTGAAGAAGTTGCAAAAGGAATGGAACAAAGGGCTTCTCTTGTAGCCAACAATGAACAATAGAAGAATTGGATGATACTTTACCATCATCAATTATCACAAGTACTTTACCAATAGGAAAATGACAACGGCTAGAATAACGATAAATATGACCAAAAGGCACAACCATGTACAGCCGCCTTTTGTGCGTTTATTCAAAAATGCTAATTTCCTTTGCACCCTCTGTTTCAAAGGAAAATGGAAAAACCGCATTAGCTTGAGCATGACAAAATCAGAGATTTCACTTATTAATTCCTCCATCCAATTTTACCATCCACAGGTTTGAATGCAAGTGCACCCATCAGCATTTTGATTACCATACAAAATCTTAGTTTACTCTCTGCTAATTACATTGGTTTGTGTATTCATGTTATGCAATAAACTATGACTTTAGCAAAAGCAAAACTACTTCTTAAAGAAATGTATATATAAGAGTGATTAACTCATGTAACAGTAACACACAGCACAACCAAAAAAAGAAAAATGTCAATGTGAAGCATATTGAAAACGAGCAATACCAGAAGCCGGGAGTTTGTTGTATCAACATGGTAGTCTAAGTTATCCTGCATATCAGATAAAATGTTATGCTGCTAAAATGTAGATACAGTTTTTGAAAACCCCATCAAAATGAAAGGGATAGAAATGCTTTCAAGTGTTAGACAAAACCATAAAAGGTTAAAATGAAACTTTTTGCAGTAATATCACCCACCAGTAGTGCAGTATGTAGGTTCAGCTCCTCATTGATTGCTAATGCAACATGTTTTGTGCTTGTCACTGTCTCCTCCAATTTATCAAGATCCTCATCCTGCTCTGTTTTAAATATAAATCAAAAGACAACCACATTAACTTAGCTTTTTGAAAAAAAAAAAGCAGAACATGTAGATTTCTAGTGTTATGACAACATGCCTTTAATAACTTGTCGTTGAAAGCCTACAAGACCCTGGTTGTCAAGACCAGTTGCCCGACTGATAACATCAGGTCGCTTAGTTTCTGGGCCAAGCAAGCTGTCCCTATTTGCAAGGTTATTCATGTTGAGTGTGGTCGCCATCTGATTAGCTTTCGTAATCATATTATCGAGGATGTCATGACGACGCTTCATCTCCTTTTTGGTTCTGTTTACAAGTAAAGAACCATGAATAAACTTACAAATCTTCATCAATTAATAACAGCAAATATATACTCTGAAAAAATGTTGAAGACATAATTAAGTAAATAAAAATGTGCTCTCTCTAACAGCTTAAGCTTTTAAATGAGATGGTCGCACACTTCAACATTGTATCAGAGGTACTGGGTTCGAGTCTCACCGCCACCCAATATCAAAAAGAATTTTCACGTGCTTGGCTCATCCATAAGATTCAAGCCCGCACGTGAGGGGGCGTGTTCAAGACACAATTAAGTAAATAAAAATGTGCTCTCTAACAGCTTAAGCTTTTAGATGAGATGGTCGCACACTTCAACAAAAACATAAAAATTCCCATACAACTATCAAAATGAATTCGGGATTAACGATTCACTCCACTTTCATTTTTCAGCTATAAAAATTTAACACCTCCGGCTTATGGAACTTAACTTTTTTTTGGAACTAATAAAAGTGTACTGCACCTGTACCTCCAGAAGATGAACACTTCTTTAACTATATCATTTGTATGCTGACCAAGTTGACCATCAAAGTCATCTATTCAGCCTACTCCCATCAAACTTCACCGGAGTTACACTCTCCTCAAACCACAACTCCAGCAATCCAGCTTTTCCTAATCTCTCCGCCCTCCTGTTGACCCTCTCAATCTCTATGCTCCACTCCACCCTATACTAAACCCTGTTCCAACATACCTAGGACTCATCAGCTCACCTTTAAATAATGATTTTAAACTTTATGTTCAAGTTGCAAATTGTCTCTCCCGTATCAACAGTGGATTTAGATTAAAAACTTATTAACTTCACTTCTACCCGTTGTCACAGCGGGTTATAAGCATAGCTAATAATCTGAGGAGTTATATCTCAAATCTGAAACTGGAATTTAACTCTATACCAAAGGCAGTAACCAGAGAAACAAAGCCATTTTACACCAAACTGTATAAAGAGGGAACTAGTACTAGATCTTTCAAGTAAAGATAAGGTTATAATCATGAATTAAATTTTCAAGTCAATGATAGTGCATCCTTGAGCACAAAGTATAGAACAGAAAATGTTGAAGTAAATTTGTGAAACAACATGAAAACGTTGATTTGCCATCTTTCTGTTTAAACCTGAGTACTTTATAAGGATATCATAATAAACTGAAAGATGATTTATATAGTATCATAAAAACCCAAATAGAAGTCTGTATGCAGTTTCTTACAAAGGCTGCTTGCTTGGGAGTGTTGGAAGAAGGGACTGGAGAGTATCGAGCCTTGTCTTTAATATAGTGATTTTTCTCCGAGCTGCAGATAAATGTCGTTGTGTTTCAGGTCCGGAAGAGGGCAAGGAGTTCCTTGCAGAAATCATAGAACCGACTTCATCCGCAAGTTTGGATGCTTCATTAAATTCTCGCATCCATGAGTCAGCAGACGATGCCATAGATAGCTGAGAAATCAAAATTGCATCTTAGGCAAAAAAAATAAGAAATTGAATATTAAATATTACTTCTGACTCTTATTCAAAATATAAAAGGGATACTTAATTAGCTCTACGACCAAATTGAATTCCCTCGTTTGAGTTGACAAAATTAGTAACGACGCAAGTCGAATTGGGCATTGTATGTGGGTGACTATTCGTTATTGAGGAATAGATAGGAAATGAAAAGAGAAAAGGTTGTCTTTGGAACAATAAAGTTGGATTCCATAGGAGTAATATTTTCTTGTGGTGTAAAATATTGCGAAAATTTCCTTTTGAGAAGATGAACATTGTTTTAGGATGATATAAATGATAAAAGCAGACATTCATTTTGGGAGTACGTTATTTGAAGTTTAACTTTGGAGCTGCTTCCCATAATGAGTTAATTTGCAATAACTTTATAGTTAATTCCAAGGTGCAACAGAAAAATAACATCTCAGACTTTTATAAACATGCAAAGATCAGCATCCATACCAAACTGCCTCTGAGATATCACAGTGCAGCCAAAAGTAAAGAATATGTGGAAAGAAATAAAGAGAAATAAAAGTGCACAGGCTTGGAGCTTGCCATAAAAGTCACAACGCGGGGAAAAGAACCAGAATGTTGTATAATAAGGCTTTTCAGTGTAAAATAAGGCTTGATGCTGCAAATAAAAGTAATAAAAGATAAGATACAGGTAAAGAACAGAAAAAAAAGCTTCATGATGGTTGGTTCAACACTCAAGCATAACTCACGCAAAAAAGTGTAAGTGTAAAAAATATAACTCTTAAGCTTGAGTTCACATAGTCTAAACTCCAAAGTGAATATTAAAAGTCTAGTAAAACTATAAAAATCTGAAACCAGAATAAAAAGTAAACATTGACAGATGAAACTTAGGACGCCATGTCTCCTTATTTGAAAGGACAAAAAATAAAATCAACAATGACTGTTGAAATAAAAGGAACCATAGAAAAATAAGGCCACCCAGGACATGGCAGAACAGAAGACCTTATTCTTCATCATCTAAAAAAGCAAATATGTTATACACTTTGGGAGCTGTTTTACAACGTATTACATCTAATGTTTACAAGCAGAGGCGGGTCCAGGAATTTGATGGATACGGGTGCCACTGCTTTTAATGCAAACCGACCATAGTGAAGAGAGAATTTGGGTGTACATTTAGTCGGTTCGATCCTTTTTGATTAATTTGGTTCGTGTCGGTCCGTTTTGAATTAATTCAATTCAATTTAAAAGATTTTTTTTATGCATAAATGAATATGTGATCACAAAATCGAGTAAGTTCTTCCAATTCGGTCTAATTCTCTGGATTCAAATTCGATTAATGTGATTAAAAAATATAAAGTAAAAGTAAAATTTTATATTAGGAAATACACTTCAATCTACATATAGGTAGATTAATATTATGTCTTTGATGCATCATTCTAATTTTTTCTAAAATTAATAAAATAACATTAGATGGATAAAAAGAGGAAATGATTAAAATCACATTCAAATAAATTTGAAGATCTAGAAAAAGAAAAAGGAAGCAAATACAATTTAAATAAATATTAAAAATGGGATGGTACAAAAAGAGTGAATAACAAAGGTGAAGAAATTAAAAGAATTTAAGAGGAGCATAAAGAAAAGAAAGAGAAAAAGATGACAAGAGAACAACTAGGAATCAGAGAGTCTCGATCCTGGCCTGTTATCTGGGGCTTTAGTGCTTTAACCGGGGCACCTACAGTCACTTTGTGACTTGGGGTGCCACCCGTCATATATGTTCATATTTTGAGCAAAATACCAGTACATATATAAGATTTTAGCCAAGCGACCGGGTGGCGTACCACCCCCAATACCCTACATAGATCCGACCCTGTGTACAAGCAAAAACATCTAAACGCAAATACACAAGCACATGAATAGGTTTTCACGGAATGAAGCTCATAAGAAGCAGAACAGGCATGTTTTGGAAGTATTACATACTAGAACATCAATCATATGCTAAATCTTCCATACTTGGTATGAAAGGAAATGAATCTGACCTTTCACCAAAACGATGTCAACCAGGCTTGTTGATTTAGATTACCTCAATATTGCCTGAGAACTTCTCAATTGCAGACCATGCCTAACAAAGAAGTAGATATACATAAATATTTATAAAATTTTAAAAAACTAGAGGAAAAATCTGAGGCGTATATTCTGAAAAAGTTAATGTAATAATGGCCATGACTTGCTATAAAGAAGCATATTAACTCTTGACTTGTGTGCACGGAGCGAACAAGAATGAAGTTAACCAAACCAAATGATTGTGAAGACAAACCGTTGCAAGTAAAGGGAAGTTATATAGAAGCATATTAACTCTTGACTTGGATAGCGCAATTCATTTAAGGGATTTGTCTAGCAAACCCTTCTAGACTTGTATGCTCATTAAACAATGTGGAATAAGATTCTTATAGGGGTTAATAAGAAAATATTATAAAAGCGATCAGAGATTTGTAAACCCATCCTTCAAGAAGCTATTCAGCAATAGGAAAAAGAGCTAATGAAAAATAGGAGCTTTGCTGCAGTTCCTGAGCTGAAACTGATAGAACAAAGCATCTCTTTGAACCAGACCATTCCAACACTCAATGATTTATTTCTTAAGACAAATTAGGGGTTCAACACTAGAAGGACGCCCATCATAAAGAGAATGAAATGCTGCAGGTAGGAATGCGACCCAATGGCTAGTGAAAGCTTTGGAGGTAGACATTCATCTGGTAAGCCAGAATAAATCCTTGACCGATAGATGTCTTATGCAAGCTGTCAAATTACCACGACAGTCCTCCTTTATTTGGGTTAGACAGTTGACACTAGCAATATCAGGTCAAATAGAACACTAAGCTCTCAAAATTCTGTGAAGACTCCCAAGAAAATTAAATAATTGAAAAAATGAAGAACATCCTGTAGAACATTTATTTGGCATATCACAATTTCCTGATACCACTAATTACTAGCTGGTGAATGTTCTTCTGAGGTGAAAATATACCATATTCCCTACTTAACAAGCCTTTTCTATTTTGTTCAAATTAAAGAGGTATAGAACCAAGATAAGAAATAGTTTTACATCTTCGGTTATTATCTGCCCACAGAAACCGTTCATTCTTTTCCATGTGCATAATCTCTCTCCTTAATGCAGTTTTAGATAATTAGTTTTAAAAACACAGACACACAAACACACACAATATAACTCAGAGTGATTATGTGTCCACAGAAATCATATTCATCCTTTTCCCATTGACAAAAGTTTTCTTTAGTGCAGTTGCAAGTTAACCGTCTTCATCACCTCATATGACCATGATGATATCATGTCTACAGTGAAGACCCAAAAAGAAAATAGATAAATAAAACTTTACCCAAATATGGTGTTATATTCTGGTAAGCACAGAGATTATGAACTAATATGGTCTAGTTCACCATAACATCAGAAAGAACAAAAAGTACGAACAGTTACGCTAAACAAATGAACAAATACACAATCACCAAACACAAACACATTTTATCTTTATAGGTATAGGTAACTCTAGTGATGAAGAAATCAAATTGCTTCTTTAGTGCTGTTCACTCCTACTTACGGAGAAATTTGCAAAGCTACTTCTTTTTGGGAATTGATTTGCAAACTAGTTGTCATGTTTAATCGATCAAATTTATGCAACACTTCCATATGCCTTCCCTATTTCCTCTTTGTAGGGGAACGTTAGTAACTGCATCAACAGAAAGTAAACAAACAGTTGAGCCACCACATACAACATAGAATCGATCACTTTATTATGAATGTAAGTTTCTTTAACTAAGTGATAATATATTAAATTCTATTCGTCCAGCGTCATTCCTATTAAGAAAAGGCCAAGTTCCTGGTATAAGATGTCCTGAAATCACCTGACGATTAACAAGGACAGCTTTGCAAATTTCTTTATTTGACTAAATTTGCTATCGAACCGCAACAATAAGATCATATCACCATTTCATCTTATAGAGATAAAATCGAAGATAAATTTATTACAGCACATCCATAAGTTTGAAGAGACACCCTTCTCTATGGAACACATGAAGGCATTTGCTTAACGATTAGAAAACTCCAATATAAAACAGCATCAGCGTCTTGTAGCATTTTCAGAAAGCTGCTTGCTCTGAAGCCAAAATCAATTGACTTCCCTGATATCTTTTGTCACACATGTCCAGGCCTTCAATAGACTCTTACAGTCTGGCAAACGCCTCGCACTCGACAACTTACAAAAGAGAGGCATCATCCTTTGCAGTTAATGCATAATTTGTGAGGAAGAAGAGTTAAATGTCAATCACTTATTCCTATACTGAAGCTTTACATGCCAAATCTAGAATTTTTCTTTAACTCCTTGGGCATTAGAAGTTGTATGCCAAGATCTACTCTGTATTCGTGCTTGCTTGGCATAAGAAGGGAATGACCAGATCCTCTCTTGGTATATGGAACTCAATTCCAGCAGTCGCATGGTGGGTTATTTGGAAGGAGAGAAATGCTAGAGTTTTTGAAGATAAGGACATGTAGATATCTCAAACACAAATGTCTATGTTGGTTTTTGGTGAAACATGGGCATGGAAAATGTGTTAAGAGCCTGACACTATGATTGACTCCCTTAGTTCTTTACACACACTAAAGTACTCACCTTTTTGGATGTACATTCCATCATTATCTTTTTGCTGGGTTTACATTAACTAAATACTTACATTACCTATCTTAAAGTGTGGGCTCACTTTTGTTTCTCATAAGAGACAAATCCTGTTCGCACATTACCTATTGAGGGCATCATATCATTGCACATTCTATGAAACAATATGGTCCTATCCTCGACCAACATAGGTTTTCATTACTACACCAGCTGCATAACAGAATCTCAGTTATTACAAAAACTCCAAAGTATTTGTTTTCTTGAATCTAACTCGGAAGTCCCTAATTGTCTTAAACTTATACCAAAAAAAATATCTTAAACGCCAAATTTATTGAGTATTGAAACGAATCATGTCGAAGTAGAGCAAAATCCATATTGAGGATTCTTATAATCCGAAATGAATTAGTTTGAGAATTAGGCATAGGTGTTGTTGTCATATTGCAACTCATAACTGACAGCATAAGCCTAACATCAACTCTTTTATACTTATAAAGGAGAGCTGAGACCCTGTTATTGATATAAGGAAATAATAGTTAACGTACTTGCATCATTAGAAACTCTTAACAATACAATAAGATTAAAGTTAAGGTAACAATCAAAATTCAAAACAAACATTTTATTTAAGGTAACAGTACAATACAACACTATGTGTAACAACTAACCAAACAAGCTGTTATTTTACAGTTCTGTTAGATGAGTTCAAATGTGATACATATATATTTTCTGCAGTATTGCAGAAACAACAATAGTAACTAAAGCAACTAATTCCAGAATTCAGTTTACCTCTAAAACATACCAAACCATTAACACCAGAAGTGAACTATTGGCTCTATTAAGAACCTAGTTTTGACATCATTACAATCTCCATACAACTGTCAAAATACTACCAAAATAATAAACCGAATTAAGACAAAAGCTAAAAGTTTCGAAATTCTTAAAGTTTACGCAGCAATCTTCCTGAGTTTAGCAGAAACCCAAAAAGAAAGGATAAATACAAAACAAATTAAATGATTCATCATGAAAACCAGAGTAATCTAGATTCAAATCAGAAGGAACAAGTAATTAGTGAAGGGTGTTGGAATTTACCTTACGCAATGAATTGAATCAACAGTTCGCTGATAATTTTGGATCAGGATTCCGCGTGAATTCTGTATATGACCATTTTTCCTTTAGTTCTTGTAACAATTAATTGAGGAAAAGGTCAAAAGGAATGAGGGGAAGGAAGGAAGCCAGCTTTATTGTCCGTTTGCAAAAATTACAACACGAATGTACTTGTTATAGTACTCCCATAATGTGGGCCGTGGGATCTTTGGCAAGTTCTTTGATTGGGAATTCTTTTTGAAGGGATATACATATGCTGACTAATAAAAGTATGAGTTTTTGGCCAAAATTGTCCTTTATGTTTGAGAGTAGATTCATATTTGTCCTTTAAATATTAACGTGAGCATCTTTAATTCCTTAAATTTATTAAAGTAGAGCATTTTTAGTCTCACTAACACAATTTATTTAAAAACTAACGGTACTACCTAGCAATAAAGGGAAAAGTGTGACGTCTCGATAGGCCGTTTGAGTACTAGCCTTTATTTTTGTGTTCTAAAACCTCCATTAGCTTCATTTGATATTTTTTTAAAGCTTGGTTCGTGTCGTTTTTCAAAAAGTTTTTACGTAAAACTTTGAAGAAAAAGTAATTTTAGGCTTAAATTGACACTTGAGTTAACCACGGTCAACATTCTTGGTAAACGACCACAAATCGATGTTTTAACAATTCCGGTAGGTTTGTATGATGTTTTTGAACTTGTACGCACTTTTGATTGGGGTCTAGGGTGACCCGAGCGCATTTCGACTCGTTATGTGAAATTTTTTGAAAATGAGTTTTCAAGATGAAAATCATGAGTTTCGATGATCAATTCTTGTTATTTGATGTTATTTTGATGATTTGAGAAAGCGAGCAAGTTTATATGATGTTATTACACTTGTGTGCATGTTTGATTTGGAGCCCAAGAGGCTCGAGTAAGTTTCAAATGCGTTGTGGATAAGTTTGGATGGTTTGAGGACTGATGATGCCTCTCCTGTTTCTGGTGTCTATTGCAGATCGCGCAATTGCGAGGTCTGGTTCGCATTTGTGAGCCTCGCTTTTGGGAACAAGAGTTCATATTTGCGAGTAGGGGTATGGGCTGGGTGACCTCCCATTTGCGAGGAAAAGGTTCGCTTTTGCAAACTGACTAGGCAGCTTTTGCGAAGTTTTTGGTCACATTTGCGACCACTAGCAATCTTGGACATCTTCGCAAATGCGAATAGTGTATCTGTAACGACCCGACCGGTCAATTTGAGCTTTTGTGTTCCGTTTAGTGGTTCAAGGTCTTGGGTGGCTTCATATTGTGTATCATGACTTGCTTGTGTGGTCAGATTTGATTTTTTGATGTTTGGGATTTATATGGATGTGTGATTGTTATTTTAGAAGCTTAAGTTGAAAATATTGACCGAGGTTTGACTTTTGTGAAAATAACCCCGGAACGGTGTTTTGATGACTTAGATAGGTTTGTATCGTGATTTTGGACTTGGGCGTATGCCCGAAATTCGAATTCGGAGGTCCTTAGGTTGATTTGATTTGTTTTGCCGAAAGTTGGCAATTTAAAGGTTTAGAATTTTGTAAGTTCGACCGTAGGTTGACTTTATGGCTATCGAGTTCGGATTTTGGTTTTGGGACATGGAATAGGTCCATTTTGTTATTGAAACTTGTCTGCAAAGTTTGGCGTCATTCCGAGTTGATTTGATAGGAATTAGACGCGCGTTTGTGTTTATAGAAGTTCTTGAGTTTCATGTGAATTTCATGTATTTTGGAGGTTCGATTTCATGGTTTCAAATGGTATTCTGATGGCTTGCGCACGAGCGAGTTCGTGTTATATTTTTAGACTTGTATTGATGCTCGGTGTGGAGCCCCGATGACTCGGATGAGTTTCGGACGCGTTTCAGAATGTTTGGAAGAGTCTTAGTTTTGCTGGTTTTTGCACAAATGCTTCAGATCTTGCAAATGCGAGATTTTGTTCGCATTTGCGGACTCGCATTCGCGAGGAGGGACATCGCATTTGCGAGATGGGATGGGATATGCTAGGTTTGCATTTTCAAACAATTGCGATCATTTTTGTCTCTTTTGCGGGTATGTTCAAGCTCGCATCTACGATAAAATTGTCGCATTTGCGACATTAGCAGGGGTGTGAGGAGTGTTGCTTCTGCGATCATTCTTAGCATTCGCAGGTTCGTATTTGCAAACCCCAGTTCGCATTTACGACACCTACGCCTGAACATAAGGGCTATAAGTCGGGATTTTAGTCTCATTTTCATATCTTTGAAACCTAGATTCGGTAGGAGGCGATTTGGAGGAGGGATTTTCATCTACAATCATTGGGTGAGTGATTTTGATCAATTTTCAACTATATTTCATGATTATATATGAGATTTAACATTAAATTTGTGAGAATCAAAGTGAAATTTTGAGAAAACTTTGTCTATGTTTTGAAAATAAAAATCTAGGATTTGAGTGTCGAGTTGGACTCGGATTATGAAACAACATACATATATGGACTCGTGGGGTTATGGGTAGTCGAAATCTACCCTTGGACCCGGGTTTTGACGGGGCGAGCCCGGGGTTGACTTTTGTTGACTTTTAGAAAATTGTGTAAAGATCATAACTTTATCTATTGTAATTGGTTTCTTTTGCATTGTTTGATGTTAATAAGTCATTTTTGGTAAGATTTGAGCTGAGCGGAGGTGAATTGTAAAGGAAAAGCTATTTTTGAGTATTGATTGAGGGCATTTGAGGTAAGTATCTTGCCTAACTTTGTGTGAGGGAAACTATCCCGTAGGGGATTGATTTGCTTGTATTATTTGTATTATGTGAAAGACGTGTACACGAGGTGACAGGTGTGTACACGAATTATATGTGATATTTTGACCGGTGTAGACTTCTAGACTCCTTCCATGTATTTAATTGAACTTATCATAACATGTTATATCTTTCTTTGTTGAATTCACTCTCACATGCTCTAATTGAAGTTGTTAAATCATTTTCCATCTTTTATTGCCAAACTTACTCTTATATGCTTTAATTGAAATTGTTGTCTCTTTTGTTTCCACATGTTATCTCCTTCATAGTTGAATTATTCTTAATTGAGGTCAATATCACTTGTTATGTCTTTCATTGTTGAGCTTATTCGTCCGTTTTATTGTATTGTTGTAAATTTTGTGTTGATTTACTTGCCATACTCTCGTGTTATTGTTGATGTTGTTGTACTAAGTGTTGTTGATCCGTGGGCTATGTGTGGTTGTGGTATTGGGATTATTTTTGTGGAAGTGTTGTGGCATATGGGCACATGTGGTGCGAGTTGTTATATTGTGATGTTATATTTTTTTTGGAACATGTGGAATTTTTTAGAGGACTTGTCGGGGTGTTTGTATGTGAGTTTTCCGTGTTATTGTTATTATTAATATTTGCACATGCGGCGTGACAAGGCGAGCTATATTTGTTGGGTTTGCGCATGTGGCGAGACAAGGTGGGATAATTATTATGCCCGTGTGGCGAGACAATGCGGGCATATACTTTATTATTGCGCACGAGGCGAGAGAAGATTGGCTATGTCGGGGAAGATTTGTGATGGCTTGGGGCATTGTTATTGATGATAATTGTGTGGTGGTGTGACCTTCTTGTGTGTGTCATGCATATTACGAGTTTTGTTGTGTCGTTTCCTATGTGCTACTCGGTGTCTCTGATTTTTACATGCTGACTTGGGCTATATTAGTACACTTGCACAAGCATACACCGTAACATGTCACCTATATCTTCCAGGAGTACGACTATTGATGTTTATTGATCATGTACATGTGTTCTTATAGACCTTCCTTTTATGTGCATGGATTGGACTGTGGCACGTGAGTTGTCCGTGCGGATATGAGGTATTGATATCATTGGCACGTGAGTTATCCGTGCATATCCAAGGTAATAATGATATTGGCACGTGAGTTATCCGTGCGGTTATGATTGGTAATGTTGTTACAAGATGCGATGTGATTATGATTTGACATTTGGGACCTGTGACTTGTGATTTTGAGGTGTAGTACCTGAGGGTGATTCTTGTGTAAACCTGGTGAAAGGATGGTTGATTATTAGGATGTCATTTGCTTTTCCTTAGTTGGGTTCACTGGTACTTTAACTGCGTTCTAATTACTTCGCGGCATTATTACCTGTTTACTCCTTGTTGCTATGTGTTACGTCTACTTTCCATTGGCTAGTGTTATATTGTTATTCTTCTATGTTTAGCCTTATATTGATATTCGTTCCTCTCTTAGTTTATGTTAATACTTGCACATGTTTATATGTCTAGTAGGTGTCTTGACATGACCTCTTTACTACTCTACCGAGGTTAGGCTTGATACTTATTGGTTACCGTTATGGTGCACTCATGCTATGCTTGCTGCATATTTGTGTGCGGATCCAGGTACGTTTGAGCGTGCTGGTAATTAGATAGCTGATCGGGTATTGTTGCGGAGACTTTAAGGTATACCTATCGTTGCGTTTGCATACCTCGGAGTCACCTTTTGGAGCTTTATATTGTTACTGTTTACTTCCATTCCAAACAATGATGTATTTGTAGTTACTCTTACAAAAGCTTATGACTTGCACTACCGATTTTTGGGATTTTGTACATCTATTGGTGGTTGTTGGCTATGTATAGCAAAACTGGTTCATGCTTCATGGTTAATTAGTTTAGATCTATTAATAACTCAGTATGTGTTAGGCTTACCTAATCTTAGAGACTAGGTGCCATCACGACTCTTAAGGAGGGATTTTGGATCGTGACAATATCCGCATTTGGGAAGGGAGGACAATGCGCATTTACGATAAACGTGTCGCATTTGTGACTTCTGGGCTTCTGACGCGCTGATTGCATTTGAGATCCGCGCTTCACATTTGCAGTGTTCGCAATTGCGAACAAGAGTTTGCAATTGTAATACCTGCAGCTGGGTAAAAAGGGGGGAAACGGGACTTAATTCATTTTACACCATTTCTCAACCCTAAACACTCTAGAGGCAATTTTCTTGAGAGCTTTTTTTTTTCTAAAATCATTAGTAAGTAACTCTAATCCCCTTTCTTTCAATTACCCATTACTTTTCATGAGTATTTAGTATCAAATCTAGGGTTTCCATGGTAGAAATTAGGGATTTGGGTAGAAATTTGCGATTTGGTAAAATTGAGATTTAGACCTCGAATTGAGGTCAGATTTGGAAAAAAAATCACATAACTGGGCTCGGTGGTGAATGGGTGA